ATGGATGGATGGATGGATGGATGGATGGATGGATGGATGGATGCATGCATGGATGGATGGATGGATGGATGCATGGGTGGATGGATGGATGGATGGATGGATGGATGGATGCAGGAATGGATGGATGGATGGATGGATGGATGGGTGGATGGATGGATGGATGGATGGATGGATGGATGGATGGATGGATGGATGGATGCAGGAATGGATGGATGGATGGATGGATGCATGGGTGGATGGATGGATGGATGGATGGATGGATGCAGGAATGGATGGATGGATGGATGGATGGATGGATGGATGGATGGATGTTCTCTAGTGCACCTGAGTTGGTATCTTGATTTGCGGTTTGTTTATGTTTGGTCCCTTTCGTGTCCAGTCTGTCTCTGTGTCCTGTCATCAGCATCTGTTTGTTTACCTCCCCAGTTGTGTCCCCATGTCTGTCTCAGTGTCTCTGTATTCATTCTCTGCGATTACCTTTGTAGTCCTGTCCCTGTGCCTTCGTCCTTCCTGCTCTCATGTTCATCATCTCATGTTTCATCCATCTCTTCGTCCATTTATCCCCAGTTGCAGTGTCAAGTTCACATGTCTAAATCTCAGTGTCACTTCCTGTTTTATTTTGATAGTCTCCAGTCTCATGTGACATGTTCAGTTTTGCTTCCTCTGTCTGGTTAGCTATGATTTTGTTGAGCTGTGTGTCCATGTGTCTCCATGTCCCTTAATATCCCCATCAGTCACCTTTGTCAGTTCCCAGCCACTGTTTGCTTTTATCAGTGTTAATAAAGCTGAGATTTTGAGTTTAGTGCTGTGTGGGTCTACAGTCTGCCACACACCCACACTTTATGACCACATTATATTTGTTTATAATTTCGAATAAACTTCTGCAAAACTAACGACACTTTCCATGGTTGCTTTTAGAGTTAGCAAATGTTAGCACAATGTTATGCAAGTTAACACAAAGACCTATCTATGCGAAGATGCCAAACTGTCTTAGTAGTTAGTAGGTGTGTAGACTGAGGCAGACTGAGGTGTGCACCGAAGAGCAGCAGTTGGCAGAACACCAACCATAAACCTCAGGAATGAAAAGCAGTGGGAAAAAACACTTTAAACAGAGAGAGGTAGAAACGTGTGATGTACAGTTCTTTTCTTGCTTTGATGTGTGATAGATGCAGTGTTGGGAAGGTTACTTTTAAAATGTATTCCATTACAGAATACAGAATACATGCCCCAAAATGTATTCTGTAACGTATTCCGTTACGTTACTCAATGACAGTAACGTATTCTGAATATTTTGGATTACTTAATATATTATCGTGCTTTTTACAACAACGTGAATGTACTATTGCTGTGTGATTTATTACTATTACTGAAGGTCCGCGACTCCAAACTGTAGTAAAGGGACCTCTGACTAATACGGCGGGGTCCCTGTCGGCTCGTAGCCGAAAAATAGCTTTACTTTGTTGTGTGGGTCAACTTTTCTTCCGAGAGACAGAGAGAGGCGTTGAAAGGCTGCTCCAACGGAACTTATTGTTTTCGGAGGAAAACACGAACACAGTGTACAGTCGAGTCTTAATAGCTTACTTACAACTGGGCTCGTCAGGCACTCTTCTTGGCTGCAGTGGTTATTATTATATTTACATGCTTCCAGCTCCCGTTTTTCCTCGACGACAACTCGTACCTTTCCACTCTCTTTTTCTCCCTCCTCGCGCTCACAGACACATAACGTGTATGGCAGTCCATTCTCCCTGCAACACGGACTACACTGCCCATGATGCTACATTCTTTAGAGCTATGCTTGTAGCATTCTGCCTGTTAGCTTAGCACAACAACAACAACGAAAAGGCGCTCTCTCACCCAGGAAACACACAGTCGCAGAGAGAGAGAGAGCGTCGCCCTGTAACCATGGCAACCGTAACGCTGCCGCCTGGAACAAAAGAACGTAGCTGTCAAACAAACCCAAACAGTCCTGACCCGCGACAAAATGAAACAGGGAAGTACCCCAGTGTATTCCATTTATTTCAACAAAGTAACTGTATTCTGAATACCACCTTTTTAAACGGTAACTGTAACGGAATACAGTTACTCATATTTTGTATTCTAAATACGTAACGGCGGTACATGTATTCCGTTACTCCCCAACACTGGATAGATGCGGCGTTATTGAAGGAGCACCATCACACTTTCAGCTTTCTGAACAATACAGAACTCAGGCAGGTTGTAATTTGGGAATGTTCGGTCATTCCCTGATAAGATAATGACTCATCAATCCAGTCAGGCCAGAAGCAGTTATGGTGACGACAAAAGTAATATTACTGAACCGGAAATGTCTCTCGCCCTGCAGTTTTAGAAGCTGACACCTTCTCCGGCTGCGTTGGAACAGAAATCCTTCCACAAGATGTAAGAGACCGTCTGCTTAAACCGTTTTGCTGCTGTGTCTTTATCTGTACTTTGCACAAAGCCTGACTTCTTTTCTTCACTAAGGGATATTTTTATTATCATGCAGAATTCCATCCATATATTATTTTCCCTACTTTTATCTTTTCCTTTGTGCTCTCTAATTCATCCCGGCAGACACAACCAGCGTGGGGGCTTCTGGACACATTCACATTTTTACAATGAAACAAACACGATGACAAGAATGAACTAAATAAGAAGAAAGGGTGAAAATTAGCGAGAAGAAACAATGAAAAATTAAGTTTACAAGACAAAGAACGTGATGCGATGCCTCCACAGACCAATGTTACAGGGAGGCACTGAATCCACCTCCACGTGATACCAAAAGTTCCACCTGCCTCAGGAATACAAACATGAATTAATATTTGATACAATTTTATATAATTCATCTGCTCTGGGGTGTACAGCATGAATGCTGTGTGTGACTAACACTGGGAGTCAGACCATCAGCAGCACAGCCATACAGTTACCTAAAGCAGGGGAAATCTGTTTGATGCATAATGTTATTAAGTTATCCAAAGTGTAATCTAAACTCCAGTTTACATGAAGTCAGAGACAGGACATCAAACACGCATAATAAACTGCTAAAGATGAGGTAGCTCTGCACACCTGTATGCAGGGACTAGCACATTTCATCGACTCCTTTTTCCTGCCTGAGATTGTTTTTCCCATATTTCCCATATGTGCTTTGACCTATCACCATCAGAGTGCATAACCCACCCACCCTAAAAACCAAAACAACCTCAAACAGGATTAACAACTCTAAATCACTTGTCCATTACAATTGCCAGAAATTTTAAGTCCTTCAATGTATCAATCAATTCCCTTTTCATCATCTAATATAAGACAATATTAACCTGAAATAATCTGAAACTAAATAATCAAGAAGCTGAAAACGTTTTGGTCTTCCATTTATACAAGATTAGAGCTAATCTAGTTCAGCTAGTTAGTGAAGGCACAGAGTACAAATCAACAAAACTATATTACGCTTAAATAAGTAGCCAGTGTCTCACTGGAGGTAGAAGGCTATGGTGAAGACAAAAGGGCAGGCTCGTGGGAGGACTGGAGAGTCAGGTATTGATCTGTTTCAGCCAACATCCCACACATTCTTCAGCGGCAGAGCATTTTGTGCCTCACTCAGACTAATTTAGATGTTTGCAACCTCCAGAGATGTTAGGTGAATTGTAGCACCCCGGGTAGCTGTGGCAGTTGACTGCACTGATGTGTTCGTCTGAGAGACTAATTATGCCTCTGTACGTCAATCTTCCTCTCAGATTAGCCGTGTTTGCACCGGGACTGCGAATGCACGTTTTAGGTTGTCAGCAGCTACTGTGTAGAAAATGATTCCTCCTCATGTGCATGCTATTTCTGGGGACCAATGTTTCTGTCAAACACCTTAGAACACCTTCAAAACTTTAAGACACATCAGAACTCGAAAAAGCTGGACGTCAGCACTGACATGAGCCCGCTAATCTGTGAGAAATGCAAAGATTTCACGTCATTTGTGGGAATTGATGAGTATCAGTCTACAGAGGGCTACATTACAAAAACCCTGAATATGAACTTTAATGAAATTTCATTGACATAACACAAAATGGTGCTCTGTAGTTTCTATGGCCCACACAAGCTTACATGCATGCCTGACAACACCTGACAACGCTTAGGAGATATCCTCGCAGATCTGGACCAGGCCACGAGCTCAGTCTGAGGTGTCCTACTGGAGTGAGGGTCAGGTAAGCATGCGGCCAATCAAGGGTATCAATTGCTTCATGTTTTAGGAAATGCCCCCATACATCTCACCAGGACCACCAGGAGGAACCCAGGATCCACTGCACTGGCGTAGGGTGTCATTCCCACATAGCAGACAGGTCCGACCCGGATCTGGTGTCAAGCCGACACTGCTGGCTGACTTCTGGCCTGGTAAGTGGTATGTCATCCAGATGTGGGCCAGGCCTGGTGTAGATGGCACTGTTTATGTTCCTATTTTCCCATTTTAGTTAGAAGACCCAAATGCCATGTTGCAATACTATACTGCTTGGGTGAATGTGGCTTGTTGTAGAGAGCACTTTGAGTAATCCGCGAGAGTAGAAAAGCACTATATAAGAATCAGTGCATTCACTGTCTGAACAGAGTTTCATCATGTTACTTTTGCACTATTATGTTCCAGCACATGTTGTTATTACATGGCTTGATTAAGATACACATTAGGCTGACATCTGGGGCCAGAGCTGAGACGGTTCTGGGCCAGCAGTGTGTCTGCAACTGGCCTTGTGCTGGCCCATGTGTGGGCCACATCTGGCCAACCTGATCTGGGCCACCAAAGGGCCGTCATTCTTTGCAGTATTTGGCCCATGTGTAAGCACACTGTGTGGGCCTGATCAGGGTCGTACCAAGTTTGCTATCTAGGTAATGGGTCCATAATGTCAGTCAGAGTACTGTTGCCTAGCCTGTGGAGCTCTGTGTGCCCCTCCAGCAATATGCCTCCGCTCCAAACTAACGTCCAGTTACAGGCAGCTTCTCCAGACCCTTTCACGTGGCCCGTGAAGTCAGGTCACCCTCATGAAGTCTGTTTTTAATTGTATGGTCAGAGACGGTGACCTGCTGGAGGTCATTTTGTAGCTCTGGCTGCTCATCATGTTCCACTTTACATGAGCAGATTCCTGCTGATGGGTTAACCCTGGGTGAGTTGGACTACCTGTGCAACCTCTGTAGGGTCCAGGTTTCCCTCATGCTACCAGCAGTGACACTGACCCTAGCTGAGCACAAAACTAGTGAAAAAACAGTCAGAAAAAAAAGAAGGTAAAACATGTGAGCGGCCTCCACCTGCAAAGCCTCCTGTTTGGGGCAATCTCACTGTTGCTTTTCTAATGCAGCTGTTGTTAATTTCTGCTACTTAACTGACCACATCAGCATCCCCTGACATCTCTGATTAAACAGTCTGTATCTGTGTGTGCATAAAGTAAAGTGAATCATCAAACCCATGTTGTTTCAGAGTGTAAGTGTCAGTGTCTCACCTCATCACAGTACAGTGGAGGGCACCTCAGCCGGCACAGTTTCCTCCCGTTCACACAGCTGCATGACAGACAGTCCTCCTCCCACTCTGATCCAGCCTGGCTCACACACACACACACGCAATATCCATATTTATACACCAGACGCTGTAATTGGGTTGATGCCTCAACAGCCCATTACCCTGCATGCACACTGGCATGAGTGCAGGTTTGATGAAAGTGCAACTGGAGCAATTTCTTCAGCGAATCCTCCCAAACTGTTGTGGATTTGAGCTGATTGTGGCACACAGCGATGCTATAATTATAACAGCGCATTATACAGACATGCCTCATGTGTATGTGTTGCATATAGGAATAAAGTGGCTTTGCAGCTCACACGGAGCCATTTGGTAGAGTCATGGGGTGGCTGATTAGAAAACCACAGAGGGTCTTTATATGGACATGACTCAAGTAGCTGACAGAAAGAGAGAGACAGAGTAGGCAGGCAGACGGAACGAGACGGGAGAATAACGGAAAAGCTGGGGCGGACAGAAGGAGAGAAAGAAAGAGGAAGAGGAGGATGCAAGGAGAAAATGAAAAACTGTGTGAGGAGAAGGCGAGACAGAGAAAATGAAAGAGAAAGACCTCAGAAAGAAAGAAGAGCAGCCCTGACCTCTTGTCAGGGTAAGATTAATTGTTATAATCCTCTAATACCCACTCCTTCATAAATAATTCCTGGCAGGCTTGCCCAGTTGCCGTCCGAGCGCTGGCTTTAACAGCACTTCCTACATAATTGATGAGGGCTGAGGGCTGAAGGGGCACAGTGGCTTAATGTGTCCTGTTAAGCTTGTCACTCATCTTCTAATAGGCCCTTCTTTATGAGTAAATAACACAATGGGATTGAATGGGATGGCATGTAAACACTACACCAACGGTACGGAGGCGGGAACAATGGCTGCAAGATGCCAAGTTTGCTGGGCAGCAGATGTCACTTTCCTTTTCGTGCGCACGCGCCGACATACCTCCCGCAGGACGCCCCGGTCATGGCAAGGGCAGAGGGCAGGGATGACGCACGCGCCCTCTGGGTTTCGGTAAAGCCCCTCCTGACACACGCAGCCTTCAGCAGAGTGGCTGCAGTTGACAGGAGAGGAGGAATAAATGTCCTGGCAGCTCCTCTCACACAACAGGATCTCCTCTGATGTCGTCCTCCTCCACTGCTCCCCATCAGGACACGCTGGAGGAGAGGAGACGGGGATGGATGATACGATGGGAAGATGATAGGGTGGAGTGGAAAGCATTTAATGATGAATCAGGAAGGAAAAGGAACAATGGGGATGCAAAGAGGGGTAAGTGTTTAGAGGATGCAGCGATAATGACGAGTTTACTCGATCATGCATCATCAGTAAAACATCAACTGTCTCCCTTCCTCTCACTCACCACAGTCAGGGGCGATGCAGGTTGTTGTGCGGAGGTTAGGGCCTTCACACGGAGCCCCTCCATACTGGTTGGGCTCCAGAACAAATCTGATGGAGCTCTGCTGTCCTGCACCACAGCTGGCTGAACAAGGGCTCCACTGGGACCATGTGGACCACTGGCAGTCCACTAGAAGGACATAAGAGGGTGGGACATTCAGTCTTAGCACTGGTTTTAATGTACATTTATCTGCAGCAGGAAACAGGAGGAAACTGTCACCTGACCACTTCAATGTACCCAGGAAATTATAAACATTTCCTGAGGACGTGATCATGGAGAGGGCACTCAGACAACGGTAACTGCAGACTAAATGTCCACAACCACAACAACTAGTAGCCTCAACAGCAGTCGCCTCCAGGAGCTTTATACTGTAAGGTGACCCTACAATCATACATACAGAGAAAACCCAACAATCATATGACCCCCTATGAGCAGCACTTTGGTGACAGTGGGAAGGAAAAACTCCCTTTTAACAGGAAGAAACCTCCGGCACACCCAGGGTCAGGGAGGGGCGGGGCCATCTGCTGTGACCGGTGGGTTGAGAGAAAGAAGATAAAGGATAAAACAGGATAAAAGACTAATGAAAAGATAAAGAAATAACAGTAAAATGTCTCCTTCACAGCTTTTGTTGCGTCTGCTGTAACCATCAGAGTCTAAGTGTGTGCATATTTACAGGAAACGTTCTATTAGGTCAGTAAAAGCATTTAAAATCTTTTAGACTGAAATAAAAGTTCATCTGAATGAACTTCATCATAGATTTGTTTGTTTTTATTGCGTTTCCAAAATGCATAAAACAGTGGAAACATCAAAGTTTCTGCTGACGGAGCCATTTGTCAACAGCTGCACCTGACAGGAAGTGATGCTGAACTAAGCAACACAGTACAACGCCCAATCAGGTTGTGTCCTATGTTTCCTTTATGCTTCATCGTGGTTTGGTAGGGAGGGAAAAGCAGCACAGACCTGTTTCATTTCTTGCTTTTAAAAGTGTCCAAAGGTCCAGTAGGTGGGTACTGGTGGGTTTGATTCTTACATACTTTCAAATGTGTTTATTGGTCGTGATAGCATTTCACTCACCACCTCCTCTCCTGCAGCGCTGCCAAAACCTCTGAAAACAACATAAAACACTAAGCTGCTTTCTGCCTAACTTACTCATTTTGAATCAAATGTACGGCACCTTTCAGACATTTGTATTTCATGCACTGATGTGACATGTGCGGTAAAACCTTTCTGTGCTAACTTGACCTGGTTTCCTCAGAATGTTGATGAGTCCTGTTTGACTTTCTACAAGCCGATAAATTACAGCTGTAATATTCTATTCATAGTATAACATTATACTTTTTGTAATGATTTGTCCATGCACTTGTTGGCCAACAATCATATGAGCTGCTTCTTTTTGCTCTTCATGGGCCCAGTCAGGCAACATATTCTTATTACTGTTAATAAAGTGCGACAGCACTCCTACAAACATTAGTGCTCATTTTTCTCACAGTTCTTGCCAGACTTTGGTTTTCCTAAACACCCAAACTGAAGTTGTGCGTGAAGCTGTTATCATGATCAATATTCTATATGTAGCAAAATAACACCTATGGTGAAAAAGGAACTCCCTACAACCAACAGCACAACTGTTGTCTAAGAAGATATTCACAGATACTTCTCTAACCTCCAGTTTAAGAAAGTATCGCAAGGGCCAGTAAAGTAATGTCTGGACAGATGTGTGAGAAGAAACTGCAACTAAAATGTGCAGTAATGTGATTGACATGAGATCCTCTTTTATTCCACATTAGGATTAATGATACGGTGAGATGGAGAAACAAGCCAAGTTCAAACTGGGATCTGCTCTGGAAGCAAAACCAAAGCTCACATCGTGAAATTGTACGTTTATGACACAAAATCCCAGTAATGGCCTGTGTGGACTCTGATTGACGTCCACCAACTGTTGCAGCAGCAGCTGTCCCAACTATAGATAGGTTGACATTTTTATCACGACCCTGCCAGTTCAACCGAAGATTGTTGTTGCTGACCGTTGCTTTCATTGCTGAAAGAGAGAGAGGCCCTATAAGGTTCAGGAAATGCAGCTGTGATGAAGCATCACTCACCCTCACAGGGCTCTGAGGTGCAGTTGAACATCCCACCTTGGCACAAGCTGGAAGGAGCGTAAAAAAGTCAAGTGAGTAAAATTAGATGAAAGAAAAGTCGAAGTGAACACGAGGCTGAACCAGCCACACACAGTTGCCTACCAGGCTACAGTGAGGGTACGAATTATACATATAATCTTCTATTTCATCCTTTTTTAATGTAATTACACATCCACAGCAGTTCAGAGCTGGAACACACAAGAAGCTTAAAAAGCGGTACAATACAGGACCTCGTGTCGAAGCACAGAGGAAGATGAAAGCTGCTACTACAGCCTCCGTTTTCTTTTAATTAAAGCAAAAATAGACAGTTGGATAAAATCGACCTGGCTCGGGCAGAAATGATGTTCATGAACAAGGTACCAGTCATTTAACTGACTTTATTCATGGTGTGTCTTTATTCTGAAGAAAAACTGAAGAAAATGTAGCAAATGTAACGTTAATTGCTACAATTAAATGTCTTGGATCAAAATGAAACACAACAATGAATAAAACATACATTTCTTTGGGTTGGAATATTGTTAGAAACATTAGAAAAAAGATCAAATCATCGGTCGAGTCATTTTTAAACAGTGCAGCGTGGATGCACTGCTTCTTCCACAGTGCTGTTTTACTCTACTTGAGCACTCTGCATGGTTTAATCTCCCATCTGTGCACTTTTCACTGTGTCTGAGTGCTTTCTGTCTAAAATTCACACAAAATCTTACTCTAATGAACACATCAGGAGCAACTGGGGATTCAACATCTTGCCCAAGGATACCTGAGCAGCTATTGAACCACCAACCTTCTGATTAGTAGCTGACCTGCTCTACATCCTGAGCCAGAGCCAGCCCGGAAATGTAAGAGCCACATACAGTGGGGCAAAAAAGTATTTGGTCAGCCACCGATTGTGCAAGTTCCCCCACCTAAAATGATGACAGAGGTCAGTAATTTGCACCAGAGGTACACTTCAACTGTGAGAGACAGAATGT